GGATTAAGTAATATGGAAGGAAGGAAGACTGTCCAGCACATGGAGGGAATGCCTTCCCTCTCTTGACTATTATTAAAGAAGGAACAGAGATGGGATTCTTAGATTAAGTTTCCCATGTTCTGATGCCCAGATTCACATGCTTCAGATGAGATAATAAAACTGTATCTTATGTGACTAGTCCTATCTCTGTCTGAATGTTGCTGTAGGCAAAACAACATTATCACATAAAAAGAAAATAAAAATGTTTATGGGTAGTCTTCATAATATTCTGGCTTTCTAAGTGCAAAATTTCCCATCTTTCATGAAAAAGCAATCATTCAACTTCATACGTCTCTCACTTGTAGTTTGAAGTAGTATACCCTACCAACAAAATTACTACTATTTCTGCTATATTATTGTAAAAATAGCCTCTATGGTACAAGTTACAGAATATGAATACAATAGCTTCTTTTGTCAAGTATCTCCTAGCAACGAATATCACGGTAATGCTGCCTTTAATACAAAAGATAATATTATAACCATCACACTATACAACTATAGATACCATTTTCTTCTATGTTATTCGCTTCTCCTTTAAAAACAGGTTGGTCACCACCTGGTGATAGTGAGTCCCACTGTTTAACTATGTTCTAGGAAGAAGCTGTTATTTCATCTGCCCTGAATTCCATGTCTTTCAGTTCAGTAAATGATGCTGATTATCATGTTAAGAGAGTTTAGAGAAATACCTTATCATCTGTCATCATTATAATTTTGTATGCTACAACTCTCATTTATTTGCTTTTTATTAAGATGTTCCAAATGTTACAATCTTTTTCACAGCAAAATTCCTCCAGACCTTCAAACTAAATCAAACTCTGCACTGAAAATCAAAAACCATTCCCTTTTGATGACTATTCTTTTTATTTTAAAAAACACTCAATCTATCAGCCTGCTTAATTGTGGCTGCAGGCCTCTTTCAGATCCACAGTGAAATACGAAGTTAGTACACGATGACAGACCATGCATTTATCTATCACAATTGTCTCTCCATGACTGAAATAATTATTATTCTATCTGAAAAGTGAGAGAAAGATGTATGTAAAGTCATATGAAGAGTTGTGTTTCAAATAACCAGGTATAGGAGGGAGGGGGCAAGAAGGTAAACTGAAATTATGCAAAGATTATGATCAGTATTTGATAATGTCATGATGTAAATCCTGCCCTCATGTATTTGTGCTCTGATTTGTGCTGACGTTTGATTCAAAGGCATAAGTATTTTTCTTTTCAGCATCATAATTATTCACCTTTCCTTCCTTGCTGCTCTTGCATAGATGCCCATGCTTTGAAAATCATTTAGCATGTGCAAAATAATATCACAGAAGGGCTTTAAATTATTCTTTATTTTTGAAGCTACATTTCTGCCACCCTCTCTATTTACAAAAGAGATCAATATACTGCTGCTTGCTGGATCAATTACCACAAGAAGAAAAAAGCAGCATATTTATTCAGTATTTAAAGTGGTACATATGAATTTATGCTTCTGTTTGCCTTCGTTGTTTTTAAATGAGTTGCAAAGTGGCCACGGAATTATAGTAAGATTCTATGTGCATGCAATCTAACTAATCACTTGCTATCCCTTCATATTTTTTATTCTTTATACATACAGAATCATACTTAAAAGAAATAATTGTGGAACTAAGGATATTTCATGGAGGCTTGGGCCTCTTCAAAATTATCAATTTATATGCAGAGAGGTAGAGTAGTAAATTTCCTACTTTAGCCTAGTCTGACAGTTTCAGTTTTATTGTCTATTTCAAAAACTATTACCAATATCCCACTAAATGTAATTCTGCATGTTTCAAAGTTTTTAATTTTATTGATTGTATTGTCCTAGTAGATGTTTTGCTATATCAAGTTAGCCTAATACTGGTATAGACTATGGATACTGGGATGAATGTACTAATTGGAGTCACTTGCATTTTTCTCTTCAAAAATGTTCAGAAAATACACATTTCTGTTTATATGCACTAACACACAAATTCACAGCATAGTGTTCACACAAACTTGTGCAAATACATATTTTGTTTGAAAATTAGCATCTTAAGCTTCCCTTAAGGAAAACAAATCTAAATACTGCTAGTAAGCTTCAAGCCATTCTACGAAATGAATCCCAACAGGACAATTCTTTATATTTCTGTTATTGGATTGCATTTGTTACCTGTGGGGATATTTGGAACAATTTCAGAGAGAAATTTGCCATCATAGATGTACAGTGGGTTTAAAAAGAATCTGCAGACTGAGATGAAATGTCTTTTAAACACTGTTTTTCTTCTTCTTAAATGCACAATATGAAATGCACATTTTGTTAAGTATCATACTAGCTTCTCCAAAGGGAAGCAAATTTTTCTCTGGTGAATCCTATAACTTTTATTATGTGATATTTTCATCTTTTAAAAAGAAGAAAAAAATTCATATATTTAGTATGTATTCTATTTTTCTGATTTTTGGCAGTCTGAACTAAAATCATAGGCCAATGCAAGGCTGAAGTGAGGTCCCTATTTTTATATTTAATAACATCTATAATTAGACAGAAGAATTTGGAGTGTAATTTATATTAGAAGAAAGGAAAAGTGAACAATATTTTTTTTTCTCCCACTGAGTGAAAAACTACAAAAATGTTAGAGGTGCAAATCAACATAGATTTTCAGGAATTCCTATCAAAACTTACTGGGATTTATTTCTACTGAATACAGTGGGTCCATAGAATGACCTGGATAGCTTTCTTATACTGGATTTACAAAAGACATGAGTTAAAGTTGTGAAGAATTTTGTGGGAAGGGACAAAGAAAAAAATGACAAGAAATCAAATTCCAGGACTTTATCTGAGAGGATTGAGGATCAAGATTATCAAAAGTAAAGGGAATATAAAATGTGTTTATCTGATCAAAGCTAAAATAGATATATTGTTATTTCTTGTAATCCTTAATAGATTTTTGCTGGCCAGGGCTGAATTATGAGGCTTTAAATATTTGCATATGTGAGATGAGATATAGGGGAAAAGAGATCATGAGTTGCAAGGGTTAAGGCACAGAATTAGTTCAAGTCCAGTAGTAAGCAAGATGCCAAGGCTTCTTACACATTATAATTTTAGGTTCAGTGGATGGCTAGTACATGCTGGAAATAAGGCTTGGATAATTTTTCATTACTTTTCTTAAATTATTTCAAGCCTGAAGAAATGTAGAAATCATAGTAGTCTTGCAGGTAACATCACAGGGGTGTGCAGAGCTGATTTTTGTAAAAAAAATCTTTCATAGTACAGTGGACATAGACAATCAGAACCTCTATTTTACTTTAGATCAGTGGTTCTCAACCTGTGGGACGGGACCCCATTTGGGGTCGAATGACCATTTCACGGGGGTCGCCAAACCACGCTGTCCGCCATTTTTTCCCCTTTTCCCTAGCTGTCCTACTCCCTCTTATTGGTGGCCACACCCACTTGGGGGTCACCACAACATGGGGAACTGTATTATGGGGTCACGGCATTAGAAAGGTTGAGAACCACTCCTTTAGATTATAAGGCATCCTGACTGCTCTGGGAATAGAATGCCAGCATTTAAATCAATGTTGTAATATTAATAGCAATAATTCTGCTCTCTAAATTGCCCTTTTACTGCTGAATTTTTCAGATATAAGTTATTCAGTCAACCATTTATATATATAGCTCAATGGCAAAGTGCATATACAATCTCTGGAATCCCCACTGTAATGTGATGCTGCAGGATAGAAAAGTCTTGTGACTAAAATTCTGGATTCCGGCTGCAGTCAGAATAGGCAATACTAGGACAGAAAGACAGTACCCTAATCTGATCAGAGTTATCGAAGTTATGTTTATTGCATAAAAGTCAGTAGGAAATTCCCAGGTGGTGGGGATTACAGGAAAATGTACAGCAGGAAATTGAGAAAGCCTTCATCTTCCCATTGGATTGAGTGAGAAAATAGTGCTGCAGAAGAGTTACTGTCCTGAAACAGATTTCATTTATATCAGTGGATTTGTCTATTTAAATGATGAGGAGCTGGAGCTGGTATTTTCTCTTTTACCAGCCAGGTCCCACTGCTAAATCTGCAGATTAAACTTTACCAATGCTACAAAGTATATGGCAAAAATATTTCAGGGAAGCATTCTGTAAATATCTTTACTGTAAGTGAGAGTGGAGACTAGATCTGCATTTTTCATTCTATTTTGTTCTATTCATACAAAGTCCTTGCTTAACTTGCATTTGTTCAGCGACCACTCTAAATTATGATAGATTAAACAAAGAGATTTATAATAGGTAGCCTTGGCTGCTGCAGCACTCCATGGTCACATGAACAACTTCGGGCCAACTTGGGCTCACTTATATTTACAGTTAGCTCTGCCACCTAGTCCCGCTTGCCATCATGACCACTAGACTCTATGCTAGTACTATAGCATCTGGAACCTTATTTCTCACTGCATTCTTTAGCAGTGGTAGAGCCATGGGAACTCTCACAGGCCTGCCCCCCTTGCAATATTTCATACATTTCTGTTTTTAAAGGGTAAAGATGACAGAGGAGACTGTGAGCTCTAGTCCCACTTAAGCATGAAAAAAAAGTTGATTGTCTTTGGGTCTGTCACTCTGTCTCAGTCCAGCTTATCTCACAGACTTGTTGTGGGGAAAAATAGGAGGAGAGAGGAGCTTTAGATATGTTCACCACCTTGAATTATTTATAAAAATAATAAAGGTTAGGTTAAAAAATCTTTTTTAAAAAAATCCATTTACATATGTGCAATTCTGCTTTCTCATGTATTTGAGATGCAATTATTTGCAGTTAAAAGTTTTTCCAGACTCACTTCATCCTTTGAAAAAATAAAATAGATTCCACTCACTTAGAATAAGACTGGAAGTTTTGCAGTGCAGGGAAGTTGAATCTCATTTGAATTTGTATGCCATGTCATTTGGTGAGTGCATGGAAACTATTGATTGTATCTGTGCCTTTCACAGGGACAAATGCTAAACATGGATTGCGCTGTAAGGCATGCAAACTGAGCATTCACCACAAATGTGCAGAGAGCACTGGACAGCAACGGTGCATGGGCAAATTGGTAAGCCAATATAATTATTGAATAAAACTGCAAATAAGGCTCAGTAAGAGATGTTGGTCCAACAGATCCCTCCAACCTTCTTGATTTAACTGAGTTAAAGAAATATACTTGCATTACTAAAAGAAATCATTCCCAGTCTCTTTGTGTTTACGTAGCATAGGTACCTATAGGCAAAGATAATACTGAGTGTTTTTATCTTGTACGTTCCTCTTTCTGCAAGGACTGTATTGCTGACTTCTACAATCTTCTGGGTCCTTTTTACTGTGCCTTTGACTATTTCCATTCTTTCCTTAGCTTGCAAGCAATGGCAAGACGGAAGAAGTGAAGCTCTTCTTGTCTTACACTCTGCTTTTCGACAGTTTGCAGATCTCCAAATCCACAAATTTGTCAAAAGGCAAATAAGCGGGCAGTAATACAAGTAGGAGGATCAGTTGAGGCGATCTTGAAAAAGGGCCATCTAAATTCTGGACTGTGCCCTAGGTTCAGCAGCAAAGCAAATTTGGTTTCCTGGTTTCCTTCTGAATCAGAGATATTAGTCCTATTAGTTGCTCTCCAGGAAGGCTTCATCTCAGACTTCTCTGAATTAATTTTTTCTCAGTGTTGCTTTACAAATGCAGAGTACTTCCATGGTTGTGGGGGGAAAGTGCAGCTGCTGTAAGAGTTAGAGCAGATGCTAAGTGAATGGGCTCTGAAATGCCTTTTTGCTGTCAAGTTTAAATGAGTGCACCTATTGTTTTTAGTTCTCCTAGTATCATGTCTTTGTTTCCTTTCTCTTTCTTTCTAGCCCAAAGGTTTCCGCCGTTACTACAGCAGTCCCCTTCTCATTCAGGAGCAGTTTGGCTGCATCAAAGAAGTCATGCCAATTGGTAAACTCCAATTAATTTTCTGCTTTTTATTGTTTCTCTTTTTCTATTCTATGAACCTTGATGTTCAGTGGCCCTTATAAACTTTTATATATTTTCATTGAAGACACTCATTTTCCTTCCTAGAGTTGTGCAAATCTTGTTGAAGAGGGAAACTTCAAGAAAGGAAAAAAAAACACACCAAACAGTTACATAAAGTTCATAAATCAGAAAATTTCCATTGCAAGGCACAAAGTTTGAGGACTGTTAACAGGATAAACAGAAGTGGGATATGATTCCAAGTTTTTTTTTCTTTAAAAGTCACAGGGATGAGACAGTCTAATGGGGAATTGAGGTCTACAGTCTGATCATAATAAAGTACAGTTGCATTTGATTAGTACAGTTGCGTTTGATTTAGTAAAAGTAAAGTAAAAAAATAAGTAGGAGGAGATGAATTGCCCATAACTACCAAAAATAAAAGCTATTAGGCAACTACAATTCACCCAAGTAGCTTCCTGGCTGAATTATAATTAGAACTTCTGAATTCTAGCCTGAACTTCTTAACTATCTTACTACGCTATCTTGTCTTAGAGCATTTCTCTACATCCTCTGCAGTGTGGTTTCCTCCAGTCCTCGGTTTCTACTGTTACTATTGGGGGGCCAAGGAGCAGGGAAGATGATTCTGTCTATCAGAATTTCCCACTTACTCTCAACAAGAGCACAGACTGCTTGACTTCCTGCTTGTCTCCCCTTCACTGATTTGATTTCACATACCATCAGTGGAGCAACAATGGCATGAAGCAACAATGCCAGCAGCATGCAGCAGATTGGCTGGCTGGCTTTTTGCTATCTCATTGCTGTCATGGATTCAAAAGGCCAGTAATGGCAGGCCAAAAAGGAGAGGCAAGTATTATGCTGTTAAGTGGTGGTAGAAATTACCAGCAGAAATAGGAATCTTTTGAAATACTTTCTGCAAAATCTCTATTCAGGAAGAGAGAGAGAGGGAGGCTATTAGATGAGGCTTATATTAGGGAGGCTATTATATTATAATTCTCTTCAACAATCAGAGGGAAAATGGCTATGGTGGCACAGAAACTTGCAGTAAGATGGGAAGAGTTCTGCTGCAGTGGTCCAAGAGTAGCGCTATTAATCTCTCAGATTCCTTGCCATTCAGCATAGAATCTTTGCATAAGCGGACTTGCTCCATTTTCTTCTGCAACCTTTTTGATCTAGTTATAAAACAGGGTGGTTCTGGTGTGACAACATGTTTTCCACAAACAATAAGAGTTGATAAAGCATGTTGGACGATATCCTGGGGGCTTTGTTCTAAGATCTAACCCTTTGCCAAACATTGCTGCTGTTGTTATTCTTACTGTTTATTGCATAGTAAGTCAAATATTTACACAGGATTTGGCATTTTCATCCACTTACTGAGTCCTTCCCAAGGACCTGGGATGGAAAGATATGGATATTTGATGGTGTTAAAGGTATTGTCCCAGGATGTTTTACTGTTCCAAGTAAAACTGTCTTTTGCAAGTCATTGGTGGTGATTTTATCAATGCTGATAGTGTTCAAGTGGTGCTCCAATTATTTGGGGATTGCACCCAATGTGCCAATTATTATTGGTCCTACCTTTGTTTTCTTTTTCCACAGTTGTTCTTTTTCTTTTTATAGATTTTGTATTTTGTTGCCTTTTCCACTTGTTTCTCTTCTGTTCTACCATCTCCATGTACTGCCATATCCACTAGCCAGACTTTGTTGTCTTTCTTATTGACAATTAAGAAAATGTGGCAGGTACTTGTCTGGTTGAATTCTAAAATTTCAGAGCAACTTCTTCATTTTCTATTACTTTGTCTAATTTACGGGTTCCACAAGTTCTTGCTTTCAGGCAGGTGTTTTTCTTGCAAATATTCTAATGCTACCTTGTCATGCTGTCACTTGCAGTCAGTTTATATTATTATGGTATATGATAATTTTCACGGTATATGGAAAGAACTTGTTCTGCCTTATCTCTCAAACGTACCAATGTTTTGCTTTTCTCCCCTCAGCCTGTGGCAATAAAGTTGACCCTGTGTACGAAACACTTCGCTTTGGAACTTCTTTGGCCCAGAAAACCAAGAAAGGCAGTACTGGAAGTAGCGCGGACTCTCCCAAAAGGAATTCTGTAATTATATCATTCCTTTCTCTCTGCTTTAAAAACTTTCCTAATAGGAGCTGGGCTTTTTTATGTCATTGCCTCAATTGTATAATCAACATTTCTATTTTAATATATTGGAAGGGAAAGAACAGCAGATCAAAGAGAGGGCTAAGAATATAAATATTAGGGATAAAGATAGAAGGAGTAAGAATGAAAAAAAATTAAAGTATTGAAGGTTTTGAACTAAAGGACTGTTCAAAGGCTTTATAGAAATATGGGAAAAATTAAAGAAGATGAAGGGTTAAAAGAAGATAGTTGCTGCAATATACAGGACACCAAATAAAACAAAAACAGGCAAATCATTTAAAGTTAAAGTTTAAAATCTTGAGTTGTCTGGGACTGACACAATGGGAAGAACATCACTTTCCGCAAAAAAGCCCAAACTATAGACTTTTCTGAAGCAAATTCCATCCTATCCAAAACCAAATCTATCTGGCATGTCAGACTAAACAAACAAACAAAAATATTTTCAATTCTTGTAAGAGAGAGAGAAACAAAAATAGAACTGTTGAGAAACCCAATTTATTCTTTGAGCTAGAATAATAACTAATAATAACTAATAACCTCACCAGAAAAACAGGGCCAGAATTATTTCTGATAATTATGGAGCAGCCAATAATTTTATAAATGTTTACGTCTACAAATACACAAGATATCATACATATAGGATTGCAAATATTTGAAAAGCACAGGAAGAGATACCTATAGCATGGTGCTGTTAGCTGCCAAAAAGGCCAACACAGTGCTAGGCTGCATTAACAGAGGGATAGAATCAAGATCACATAAAGTATTAATACCACTCTTCAATGCCTTGGAATACTGCATCCAGTTTTGGTCACCATGATGCACTTGGAATACTGCATCCAGTTTTGGTCACCATGATGTAAAAAAGATGTTGAGACTCTAGAAAGAGTACAGAGAAGAGCAACAAAGATGATTAGGGGACTGGAGGCTAAAACATATAGGGAACGGTTGCTAGAATTGGGTATGTCTAGTTTAACGAAGAGAAGGACAAGGGGGGACATGATAGTAGTATTCCAATATCTCAGGGGCTGCCATAAAGAAGAGGGAATTAAGCTATTTTCCAAAGCACCTGAAGGCAGGACAAGAAGCAACGGGTGGAAACTAATCAAGGAGAGAAGCAACCTAGAACTAAGGAGAAACTTCCTGACAGTGAGAACAATTAATCAGTGGAACAGCCTGCCTCCAGAAGCAGTAAATGCTCCAACACTGGAAGTTTTTAAGAAGAGACTGGACAGCCATTTGTCCGAAATGGTGTAGGGTTTCCTGCCTGAGCAGGGGGTTGGACTAGATGACCTCCAAGGTCCCTTCCAACTTTACTACTATTACTATTACTAGCTTGTTATTATCATGCAAAAAGGTTGCTTTTCCAATAGTCTTTGAAGAGACCATACTATCTTTAGGGCATCATCTCTTCCATTCTCTATTAGTATCAGTAGTTCTTAACACTTTAGTGAAGAAATAGGACACCTTGTTTACAATTACAATTTCAGGAGGAAAGCAATAACAAGATTAGATTATTTAGATATTTATTCTGATTGTCATAATTAGAATCTCTATTTTGCAATAATAACTTCAATTTACCTTTTTGCAATGTATACCAATCCTGTATACTATATTGGTGTTCTTTAGGATTCCCAACAATTCTCTACATAAGGGAAGATTTACAGTATGATCAGCTCAGAGCAAAACTGGGTAATTCTTTGGGATCTGCTTTCCAAATATATCATATTTTTCAATCTCTTTCAGCCAAATAAAAGTATCCTTGCTAAGCACTAAAATAAAATAAATATTTAGCTCCATGTTTGTAGAGTTAGGCAACCTAGCATCCTTTAGATGCCCCAAACTCTCATCTTCTTTGTTCTCATCTAACTACAATATAGCTGCTGAAATTCACAGCATGGCTTTTAAACCTAATCTGATAACATAAGGCATAATAGTAGTAGCAGCAGCAGTAGTAGTAGTAGTAGTAGTAGTAGTAGTAGTAGTAGTAGTAGTAATACAATACATGATTTGCATTCAGAAGCCTTCCATTTCCTGCATCCCTAATTAGATAAAGTTCCTCTTTTACACATTTTATGCATTGGAGAGCAGCTGCCAGTCAATCCTGACAACGTTCGCTAAAGATATAATAGTATACTTTTTCTAAGCAAGAGCTGACTAGAACACAGTAGTAAGGTGTAGCCTTATATCCTCCATGCAATATCTGCTCTTCTGTAATTACCATTGTTAAAGCTGTTCCAAAAAATTAATACTCACAGAGAAGGATTCTAGATCTTTTGAAAGCTTATTTCCTTATTAAAATCTATATACTACTAAAACTCTCATTCCCATAATGTAAACTTGGTAAAACAGCACATCAAAAGACAACAAATTTTGAACCAAGGTATCTCTTATGGGCTAATCTAAAGAATGCATCCAAAATCTGGGACTCATAACTCCTATGAAATTGAAATTTGGCAAATTTTGTAAAGCATTTTATGTTATAAAAATTATCATAAAATGGTTTATGACATAATACAAAATGCCATAAAACATTTCCTGTGCTGATGTTTGACTGTGCTATACAATTCAAATATGGAATATGCATCCCTCTCTGCATGTATCTCTGTATTGCTAAGAATGTTTTAAGCATAGTAGAAGTTCTACCACTGTTGAAGACATTGGGAAATCGGGTAAGGAAACATCTCTGAAATAATAATTTAAGAGGTCATGGTTTGTCTACTGATCTATCAAACTACCATATTTCATAAACAGAAGACTATTTTTTTTCTAATGTTTTGCTCCTTTTCTTTGATTCCTGCAATTCATTCATGATTAGAATCCCCTAAGTGTATTTCATGCCAAATGAGTAAAGTGTTCTCTTAAATAATAAATTATTACTCAAGCAAAAAAAAACCTTGAACATAATGTCAGCTTGCCTTGAAATTTTGATCAGATGGAGAGTGGGTGTAAGTTTCTAATGCTAACACATTGTGGGATTCACTTCTTATCAAGTAGGGCTGTGAAATACCAGGTGACACATGAAATGTTTAATTTTTAGTACTACAGTCATTTTGAAAAAAAACACACACATGAAATTCAGTTTATTAGAACTTGGAATTTGGAAGTACAGTATATTTAATTAATTGATTGATTTATAATTTAAGTTTTTACATTCTTTCAGATAGTTTATGACAGTAAATCTGATTCATTTTTTTCTGCTTTCTCCTCATAACAATGTTGTGCAATAGGTAAAAATTAAAAAAGAATTAGTGGTCCAAGTGTACCCAATATGGTTCATCAATGAATAGGAATTTTTAAAAATATATCATACATATATTTGAATTACTTATAGATCACCTCCATCAAGACTCAATGCAACTCACAAATCAGTAAATCATAAAATCATGACTTCACACCATTATAGTGTCTCTTAATATAACATATATCAACAATCCACAATCATAAACCAACATAGCAAGACATCCATTAGGCAGCTATTCCCATTTAAGAGACACCTTAGAATCCTAAATTCTGGAAAAAGACTGTCTTGATTGCCTTTCTAAACAAGAAGAAAGTCATTCTGGCTTTTTGCTCAACCTGCCTTGATTGTCCTACTTCTGTTCCATTATTTGAATTAGAAACCCATTAATTATAAACAAATGTTATTATAATCCATTAAAAGAATAGGATCATGTTTGCCTGCCAGTTCTTGTAAACATTTTAAAAACATAAGTAAACTTTATTTTTATCTACCCTAATAAATGTATTGTTGTTACTATTATTATCAAATTTAATTTCTGTCCATCTTACAGTTCAAAGCAAAATGTGTTATTTCATAAGATATCATAGATCATTATCCAATTTATATAGTCCTAAAATGAATGTATTATATTCTATGCATTTGATAAAGACAACAGGATTCCAAACAGTTTTTTTTTAACAATAACATGCTTTAGCTTTTAGTCAGAAAGAATTTTATTTGCTCTTTCTAAAAATCATTATCAATATGGCTGCTTCAGTACTACTGGGCTGCTACTGCTTCAGCTCTCCTGGGCTATTGTTGCAATCATGTGACACCCATTTTTAATAGTCTGCAACACTCTCCCAGTCTCTCACAGTAATTCACTCTATCCTCATCCAGCAACAGCCACTTAACTGTCTGCAGAGAAAGGAAGGGAGGAACAGGGAGGAAGTAACCCATTCACAATTTTCTAGCCCATGTCACTCCCCCACAATCCCTGACTCGCAACACTATCTCCATGTCTTACCCAACCACTGTGGTACCTCCTCCGACTCACGCAACTCACCTGAGCCTTTCCTGACTCATGCCTTCCTGCATATCTTCCTGACCTGTGTGGCACATTGAATACTCCCATGCACCCTCCCTGACCCATACTCCCTTGGCACGCCTTTCCCAACTCAAGTGGCCTCTCTTGCACACCTGTCTTGGTACCTATCACTTACCCTTGCAACCCCCATACATGTTTCTTGATGTACACTGCCCTCCCATACACATCCTACCTTATTCATGGGTTCTACCTGACCTGTATAGCACCTCTTCCATACCTCTATTCACTATCACAACACATGCCACACACACACAGGCCCTTCCCAACCCATGAAGCATCTCTTCAAACACACCCATGCACTTTTCCAACCTGCACAATATCTCTTGAACATTCCCACATATCCTTCTTGCCCCACACCTTTATATATAGCCTAGCTCACTTCTCCACCTGAGAGCAGCCACTCATCTGCCTGCTGGCTTTAGATTTAATCATAGAATAACAGAGTTGGAAGGAACATTCAAGGTCTTCTAGTCCAACCACCTGCTCAATCAGGAGACCCTATTTTATTTCATAATGACTGGGTAGTCATTATGGTCTTCGTAATGAGTGGACAGCCATTTCATAAATGCCTGCCCATTGTCTTTTTAAAATCCTCCAGTGATGGAGCACTCA